AGTCTTGCAGTTTGTTTATTCTACTTAGTCTTGACATCTGCAACCTCCCACGACAGCCCCTGGTACCTGGTCCTGGGTTTCTGCAGCTTTGGCTTTCCCATCCTCGCAAGAATGTAGCGCAAAGTTCGCTTAAACTCGGGGTATGTAGGATCCTCCACTATCCTCTCACAATGTCAAGACTGCTAGAGAAGACTTTGGAACCGATATGTGTGTAGCTTTCAGAAAATAGGTCGATGGCAGGTTGACATGAACTGGGCGATTCAGGGCCATTCATGGTCGATTCCGGCTTTGGCCAGATCTTTGTGTTGTAACTATCCTTTTGTGCTGTATACAGTATACAACTCTAAGTTTTCGGGAGCCTTGGCCATGCGGCCAGGTGAGACTTGACCACCATGCAAGTCGAACATCCTTCGTTGGTACAGGTGCTGTGGTTGTTAAAAACACAAGCTCCTGCCAGTCAGAGTCTCGCATCCTCTTTGGATCTGGCAGGCGTTCAAACGCCTGCAAACTTCCAAAGTAACACAAAGCCCAAAGCACATGTTTCATTTACACCAGTGACTGTGCCACAGTCTTGCCTCTATCATGTGCTCCAGCTTTTCCCACTCGCTCATCGTTCAGGGAAGTGCCAGGCACGGCTTGGTCCAAACACAGCAGAGGCGAAGGCAGCGAACGCACACAACAGGCGATGCCCTGTCCACCCAACATGGAAGCCGATGACATGGCCAAAACAAAAAATGCGTTATAGTGCTTTGTCTTCACATGGTGCAACCAAAACTTTACCCATTACCAGCCTTATAGTCTTTACATTCAAACTGGGTCTAGGCCACGGCCCCCAGCAACAGCATTCGGGAGCTCTTCTTCTAGGTTTGGCCATTGTCTTGACACCTGGGTAATGTCCTGAAGAAATCCTATTCAACCACTCCAATAACATAGAAACCTAATCAGTTGCAAAGTCCTCGGTCACAGTCTTGACATTGTGAGAGGAAAAAGGGGGATCCTACCTACCCCGCAAATGGGGCAAAACGACTAAATTTGCGCGTTCTAGTGCACTGTCTTGACATGTGCAACCACTTTTCTACCCATCACTAACCTTATGGTCTTTACAGCCCAATTGTGTCTAGGCCACGGTCCCCAGCCAAGACTTTGGAACCCACTATATATAATATTCAAACATGGCAACATCAGCCATCAATTCGAAACAAGGGTGGACAAGAGTTCCCACTTATCCAGAGTTAACGAAGGAAATAGACGAGTTACAAACAAAAACCAACCAATCAAATTAGCAATTATTTGATAGGAACGCTGGGTATCTTCAGGATAGTCCGCTCAACACAGCGCCCAACAAGAACAACATTCATGCAACAGACCTTCAACAACAAAACTTGAAACAAATGGCTCAAGAGGCCGTTTTTTGAAAAAACTGTGTTCAATCCTAATGATGAGGATGAGATGGTGGAGATGAGAGATGATGCGTTAGACCTGTACAACAGTTTCAAGAAGGAACAGGAGATGATAAAAAAAGGGGGACGGGAAAATAGCCGAACAGGTCAGTTTAAGTCATAAGGCGGCCTGCCAGACTGTGAACAACACGATATTAAACAGCGCAGGTTCATCTGACACTATGAGTGCAGGAATTTAGGAGGAAAAAGTGAAGCAAAGCGCCGTCCAAAGCCAAGCCCGTTGGAAAGAACATATTGAAGGAAGCGGTCAAAGCAGTACCAAGGCCAACACTTCTCAAGTCTGGAGCATCGAGCAATCAATCATCACCGCGGCTTGTTTGCCGAGTATGCTAAAATACTGGAAAACATAACAGTCCTTACTAACCACCTTGAACGGTGTATCAGTCCAAACACAAACACTAAACCAAAAGACAAACATATTCAGAAGCATAGTGAGAAACGTGAGCTAGGCTGACGACATCTTCATATCATTCTACAGCGACAAGGGATACAAGGGAAACTTGAAAGGAGTTCTTTACATGTCATAGGACAAAACTGCAGGGAAGACTTAGGACTTGTCCGACTTATTATCCTTTCGATTCAACGTTCAATAGGCAATACCATCATCCCAGAGATGCCAACGATGGGAGCGGTAAACAGCTACAAACACCTACAAGAGACCAACAACAACCACGTTTCTATCAAACCACACATGTATAAATCAAAACAATATCTTTCCTCGCAGGGTTCAATCTGAAGAAACTGAACAGTGCCTGCCAACTACCCCGGACTGAATTTGAAGAACAATTCAATAATGGTGTCCGATGTAAGCCATTGTATGGAACATCCCTCTACACAACTGATTCCGGATTGAAGCCAACACAAATGTACTTTAGAATTTAATCCGCTGTTCTACGATTAGGGATATTTATTTGTAACAACCTCTATTATTCCAAAAAAACAAGCTTCGCCGTGCTTCTACAACTGAACAAGTAATTAATGATATGTATCTTAAAATACTTTATAAAACACAAACAAACTTATCAACATACCTTCTTTCGGTGGTGGAGGTGGTGAAGGATACAGCGATGACCAGATTGATGTTTGTTTGCATTGAAAGCCAACACTGCTGATGTATAAACTCAAAGATACTCAAAGTCAAATAGATACATCATCAGCGATTAAGGCAAACCCTTTTTACATCCGGTCTTCACTTCCCATGTATCTGTCAATTCAGTTTGAGATGCTCTGGCACTAGACTCAATGGGATTAACTACGAATGCTGTTAATTCATTTCCTGCTCAAAAACTTACTGATGATATTATTGACTTTTACCATAACGGCACTGAATATATGAGATACAATTAACATATATCAATCCAGCTGTGGAGCTGAAAGAATAACTCCTATGCAAAGGCGGTTTCAAACAAAATACAACAAACAGTCAAAACAATGTAGATTTATCTTTTTCAATAAATGGTGATCAGTGATGGGTTTATATGAGTTTATAAAATTCCAAGCAACACCACTGAGAATTAGCACGGAACGGAAATCGAAAGGACACCTTCAGACACAAGGTTGAATTTGAACAAGTTTATTGAGCACGTTTTCAACGAACACCCAGCAAAACCCACTGGCACATCTGCTTGAAGAATGAGAATGTAGTTCTATTGTGTCAAGATGCGATTCGCTTGACTTCACCCTTTGTCCAATTGGAGTGGAGCGGCCCGGACTCGTGGGACTGCCAGGTCACTTTAGATTCAGCAAAGACGAGTCCCTTGAAACAACTCGAAGATCAGGCCCTGCCTCCTTGATCGTGCCCGCTAGAACCTGGGAAAACGTGACATCAGCCTGATACCCTTTCGTAAATGGACACGGGACAGATAGGGTGTTCATCGTGTTTCACCAAGTCCCGATCTCTGATCCGAGCGACAGATTCGCAAAAGTCCATGAGCTTGGACTCGCTCAGCACCGCATCCGACCAAAAGTCCTTTTGAACGAAGGAGTCGGGGGTGTTTCAGTGTGTTCACATGCGAAGACCGGCCAAAATGCATGTTTCAGTGTTCCTCCCCACAAGCTTTTGCGATGTTTCACATCCCTCACTTCACCTTGCGCAGATGCCCCCCATCCTTGGCCGATGCTAAGCTGGTGAGGTCCAAGCCAAACCTCGGAGAATGGTCAGCAGCGGATGGAAACGCAAACGCAACAGGACAACGTTGGACAACTATGGAGAACCCCATGGTCGGTATTTCAAGCTTTGGTTCATTGGTTAGACACAAGCAAAGTATGTAGCTGCTTCCTCTAGGCTCAGTCTTTGCTAGTTTTACTTTGAGTAGCTGCCAGGGTGGCCCTCGAAAGCCCTTGGATGACAAGGGTGATAAAGGCCAGTCCAGTTCCAGTCCAGTTCTGGTTCAACTGGCGATAAACGTTAATGAAAAGTCCATGCAACGACGAGTTATGGTAGCTTGCTGAGGCCACGGCTTCCGAGAATTCCAACTGACATTCTCCGCAACACCAAAGGCTGGAAACTCCTCAAAGCACTCAGCCGCTTCACACTTCACAGCCGAGGGGTTGAAAACGACCCAGCAAACGAACCACTATCCAGCAATCCCCATGTGAGACGACCCCACATCATCCA